TTTGCATTGTTTTCTCTCTCGCTCCTTCTATTGGAATCAGAATTCGAATCGATCAATCAGGTAACCATAACAGTAAGTTTTCTAACCAATAATTGTTATTCTTTCCTGTTTGTTTCCAGGCTTCCAATAACGTCCTCTCAAGGTAACAAGATTAGTGTTAACTTTGCATTGCATCACTACTTTGTGTTATCGCACCCAAGCTTTCTCGCGGCGTGACCGGTTAGAGCAGTGAGCTCCAGGACTCTCCCGTCTGACCTGGGTTCGAAGCCTAGCACCTTCTTATTTGAAAGCCATAGAAGAGTCTTATCCCATGGTCCTCTTTTTTTATTATCAGTACCAATTAAATTATATGCCACCCTATAACTTCATCTCCCCATCTCTCTGCAGCCTACAATACTCTCTTCTTATAGCTAAACACCTGGATAGCATCAACAAAACCAGCTATATGTTGTCCCTCGCTTGGCTTGCAACATTATTATTTTTCTCTCATTTTTCATTTCAAATTTCAAATCTTCTGTAACTAAAATAGATTTATTACCAGGATGTGCCACCGAGAAATCCTCTTGTGGTGGCCTTGGCCTTTATCTCTCTTTCATCGATCGGTTCTTCCAATGACTCGCGCACACACTCCTAATTAAATATTCTGCTATTTTTCCCTTTATCTCATTGCCGCTTGTTTAGTCTTTTCTTCAAAATTAGTGCCAACAAAATTTCCGCAGCGGAGAATTTATCTAGTTCTATATAAATTGACGTGTGGACAGCACTACAGCAGACGCGTGCTTTGCCAAATACAATTGCATTCGGCAAAGAAAGCTTTGCACTCGGCAAAGCCTTTGCCGAGTGCTGCACTCGACAAAGAGCTGTCGGCATATCCCTTCACGATAAAGGCTTCTTTGTCGAATGCAGCATGTCGGGCACTCGGCAAAGGATTTCCCGAGTGCCACGACGGCACTCGGCAAAGAAAAGCCGCCGTGACAGCCAGGTCATGGTGACGGCCCCTTTGCCAAGTGCCACGCGTCGGCACTCGGCAAAGAAATGTGTTTTTATTGTTTTTTTAAAAATGCTTTGCCAAGTGCCTGCATCTGGCACTGGCACTCGACAAAGCTTGTTTTCTTTTTTTTTGGATTTTCTTTGCCGAGAGCTGTAGGTAGGCACTCGGCAAAGCAGTTTTTTTTAATTTTCTTTGCCGAGTGCCTTGAGCATGCCACTCGGCAAAGCTGGGAAGCTTAGTGTCCTAAATTCCCAGCTTTGTCGAGTGTCTCGGTAAAGAAGTGAAAAAATTCATTTTTTTTGGTTTTTAGTCTTCCATCGTTGCAAACAAGATATACATCATATATATATAACACAACTATATATCACACAAATATATATATAATACAAATGTATATCACAATCCACCACAAACACAAACATAGCATACAAGTATCACAATCTCGACTCCCAAGTCCAAAGTCCAAACACACAAGCATAGTTCACAAAGTTCACAAGTGCATTATATCACAACGGCTGCCATTTGAAGCTCATGGCGACGGTCCGGGTTAGGATGGCCCGGCGTGCGATCTCGGCGACCCTCCGAGGTGGTTCGACGCCGCCCCCGATTGATGCTGCACAAAATAGAAGAGATTGCACATGAGCGACAAGAGAAGAGATAAATATGCAAGATAAATATCTGCCACTACCACCACCACCACCACATCACCACCATCACCAACACTTCACCACCAACACTTCACCACCACCACCACCACCACCACCACCATGAGCACCACAACACCGTGACCACCACCACCAACACCACACCACCACCATCACCATGACCACCACACCACCATTACCACCACACCACCACCACTAGGTTTCTCTAGGTTTCACTAGGTTCCTCTAAGTTTCAGCATAGAAAGTAAAACTTCGTACTTATACTCACCAGGATAGAATCAGGACGTTGTGGAGATGGATCTGGAGCAAGCAACGTCTGTGGGATCGCCCAACCTTGTTGTTGGCCAATTTGCTGCATGAACTTGATCATCTCGGCCATCTGCCGCTGATCTTGCTCCCGCTGGGCCTCCAAAGCCTGTAGCCTCTGCCGCTCGACCTCCCGCTCGGTTTGCAGTTCTTGCACTTGGGCCTGCAGCATTTGACCTCAATGTTTCAATAATGCATAGGTTAGGTATGTAAAAGTCAAAGAACGACGAATGAAACAGGAATGCTTACCTGGAGTGCCGACACCGCGGTCGGCCATTGGCGTATGGGCACGCTTGAGCTCGTGCTCGCTGCTCGGAGCTGGTGGAGAGGAGGAGTAGAGGCCGTGTCGAGGACGTCGTCGCCAATCCAGAACCGCCCATGCTTCTTGCCTTGCCCCACCCTTATCACGAGCTGAGGATCAAGGCGCTCCTCGGTTCTCGGATCGTAGCCCGGCCCATGGACTGACCTTGCCGCCTCCGTGTACGAAGAGAGGCGGGTGTGGACGCTGGAGTTGGTGTACGCCTCAACCGGGGCATCTAGGTCGTACTCGATGTCGGCCATCACCTTGCCCATGTGAGCCAGAGCATATGCCTTGAGTTGACCAACTGGCTGACCACCGTGTGCATCCGACTACGAGAAAGACAACAACATGTGGTTAGAAATGATGCAGAATTGAGCGCGGCTAGATTAGAGCAATGGCGGAGACTTACATATGCCTTTGCATATTTGCTGAAGCTGCGGCTGCCCTGATAGTGAGCATCTGCAAACGCCTATCGCGGGCCTCCTCGTGCTTCTTCTGCCAGTCCCCGTCCAACCAGGTGTCCATAATATATTCCCAGCAATCAGGGTGGGTGGCGCACCAACTTGGAATCGTCTACAGGACATCAAGTAGACGACATATCAGAAGATCAAATTAGGCATACTTCATCTCAAAAGAAATGAATATTCATGTTTTGTATTTACCTGTATGTACTGCTCCCTTGTCAGCGTCATCCGTCTTGCGTCCTCTTTGTTGACACGCCCGAGTAGGAACTTGGCGTTGTAGTCTATGTGGACCTAGAGGCGGGACTCGTAGTGCAAGTCCGTGACACGCCTTTTACAGGAAACGTAAGCCACCTGATACGCACTTTCCTCCTGTCCCTCCTGGATTCTAAAGAAGTCCTACATAAAGACATGAGGTATCCATTATTTTATTTCAAGAATGTCCAATGAATGCGACGAATTGAGGAATGTAGTGCAAGAAGGACTTACCCATAACTCCCTAATCACCCGATCTGCCTTGTTTCTGCAGCGGATGCCATTATGATATGGAGCATCCTGCACGACACGAGGGTATAGTGGTCGAACGTCCAGACCAGCTTCCAATCCTGATCTCCTTTCCTAACCAGGCCAGGGAAGTGTTCCTTGCACAGAAGTCCCAGGATGACATTCACATTGCGTGCCGGGGCCGCCTGGTCCACAAGCACCCAGTTCCTGCACAAGTGGTCCACAATAGTTATTAGTTGTTATTATGATTTTTCAACATATCAAATGAAGAACATATGAAGTTACTTACTTATCGCCCTTGGGTGCAATCAGTGGGCGCCTCTCAACAGGTATCGGTCGCTTCGGGAGCTTTGCAGGACCTCGCTGGTAGGGCTTCGACGTACCAGAGGAAGTGGAACCCCCTACCGTCGCCGCCTCCTCGTCCTCCGTCGCTGGAACCGCCTCCTCGTCCTCCGTCCGTGGAGATGTTTCGTGATCACATGTGGAGATGTCTAGGTTTTAGGCATCGTACGTCACAACTTGCTCGGAAACTTCTAAATTTTTTTACCACAACCTCTACATGCGATGACACGACACTTCGACAAGTTTCGTGATTTTCGGACTTCGTTTGCATTTTATATAATTAAAAAATACTTTTTTAACAAGTTGGTGGTCATGTTTCGTGAAACAGATGTTTGAAATTTCACGAATGTCCCTGCACACAGCCTAAAAATGCACTCAAAAACATGAATACCATTTTTTGAATCGCTAAATTCCAATATTTCATACACCCGCAGTTCAAATTTACTTTTTCGAGAAAAATTCAAGTAAACATAAAAAATTTAAAAAAATATACCAAAAAGTCATAGAAAAGTTCCAAATTAGAACATGTGCTTCAAGGTACTGTATAAATGCCACAGAAAAAATTTAAAAACAAAAATAAAAAAAATAAAAATACTTTGCCGAGTGTCGGAATTGACACTCGACAAAGGAACCTCTTTGCCGAGTGCCAAGACAGGCACTCGGCAAAGACAGCACGTTTGCCGAGTGCTAACGGCCAGCACTCGGCAAAGGATGACGGAGGGACCACCACCGGCGTCGCCTGAGGTATTTTGCCGAGGGTTATTCTTTGCCGAGCGCCCGACACTCGGCAAAGAGGACATTTGCCGAGTGTCCCTCTTTGCCGAGTGTGTGGCACTCGGCAAAGACGGCCTTTGCCAAGTGTCGGCTTTGCCGAGTGCGGCACTCGGCAAACTACCTCTTTGCTGAGTGCCCGTGTTTCGACACTCGGCAAAGCGCCGAGCACTCGGCAAAGAGCGCACCTCCCGTAGTGTAGACACTTACTTTCTTGACATTAATTAATTAGGGCAATTAAATAAAGTACGTCCGGATTTCTTTCATGCAGAATATATACGCGCCTTTGGAACGTAGGAAACTTTCATGTTTATATTCTGTACACAAAATATAAGTGTCTCGTTTTAGATTATAACGTCTTTCATGCAGAATATAAACTTTGCACTACCCAGAACATATCCTAAGGGAATTGCGCGCTGACACAGAATGCATGCTTTGCTTTTTACATTATGATATGATGAATGTCCCCATTCCCTAACGCACTTTGCAATAATATATAGCACTTTATTACTCTTTCGGATCCTATCAAAAGTTCCACGCGAGAATTCAGCAACTGGATATTTAGAGAGAACAAAAATATCGTAAGCAAGTTTTAAGCTCTTGTCTTGAGTCGTCTCTAACTGTAACAGCAGGTTACCTGGAACTATTACTAGGTCGATATGGACGGGACAAAGCCTTACATACTCGCCATCACCATACGGGTGATCGTCGCTGGCATGTTCGTTATCAACAAGGCAGCAATGGACCACGGATTGAACAGCTTCGTCTTCATCTTCTACCGCCAGACAGCCGCGTCTCTCCTCCTACTGCCCATTGCAGTCCTTCTGGAGAGGTAATTAACTCCATCACTTATCACTTACCGCTGACTGACTAATAAAAGCATGGTCTGGTCAACAGCAGTAGTCACCTCAAAATGATACTCCTATATAGATGATCTGTTTAATTTATAGCAGGAGAAATGCAAGATCCATGTCGTCCGCGTTGCTCTTCAAGATCTTCGTGTGCGCCTTGATCGGGTATCATCTAAGCATGCATGTAGTTTTAATTAATTTGCTGTGTAATTTATTTAGGTTCATTGAATGATTGATTTTGCTCGTCCGGAACTGAAGGAGGAATTTGTGATCGAATTGATGTACGTTTCTGTTGAATTCGTTGGTCGGTTTCCAGGATTACACAGTTTTTTTTATGAAATTCCAGGATTACAGTTAGCGGCAATCTGTACAACGTGAGCCTGAAGTTGATATCAGCAACGGTGGTAGCAGCATCAAGCAACTCCCTTCCAGTGATCACCTTCTGCTTGGCGCTTATATTAAGGTGTCTAACTGACATTATTGTCATCCAATCCAATCAAGTGTGTGTGTATATATATATATATACACACACACGTACTGTTCTATAGCTGGCCACAGAATAAGTTATTCTATGGCCACTTTAAGTTACAATAATTACTATACTAATTTACGAGATTATGGTAACTCCCTCATAAGTGATTTACTATAGCATTATGGTAAGTATCATCTTGAATTATAGTAACCCATGTATAGTAAATGTGTATTGTCATTATCGTAAATTGATACAAACATTATCGTAAACTAAGGTGGCCATAGAATAAGTTATTCTATAGCCAGCTGCAGAATAGCCTTACCCTATATATATATATATATATATATATATATATATATATATATATATATATATATATATATATATATATATATATATATATATATATATATATATATGCTTTGGTTGTTAACTAATCACATGTCGCTCACGTCGCACGCAGGATGGAGGAGCGTAGCCAAGCTGACTGGCGTGGGGCTCTGCCTTGCTGGAGTCTTAGTCATTGCCTTGTACTCCGGGGAGTTGCTGAGCGCCGTCAACCATCACCGTGCCTTCGCTGCTCCCACTCATGCCTCCGCCACGGCCGCGAAAACGTTAATGGGAGCCGCGTGGATCAAATGGACGTTCGTCGCGGTCCTCGCTGTCCTGGCATGGTCCCTGTCCCTCGTTCTGCAGGTCTCATCAACATCTGCAAATCAGAACTATACTATATATATTTACTTGCCTAACGCTATACAGTTTGGTCGTTTGGCTGTGGCTTGTCGTAAATGATCGTAAATTTCCAGCCGGAACATTATTTTTTTCTCACACAAACCAACCAGCAGTACTTCTTCACGAACCAGCAACGAAACGAACCAGCCACCGAATAGGCTGATATCGATCTATGTCGATATATACTACATCCATATAGGCCGCCGTGCTCAAGGAGTTTCCGAACAAGATGCTTGTGATGGTGACACAATGCTTGTTTAGCGTGGTGCAATCGTTCTTAGCCGCAGTGGTATCTGAGAGGGACTTCTCAAAGTGGAAGCTCCGTCTGGACATCGGCTTGCTCGCGATTCTTTACTCGGTAAATTTTTGCATACGATGAGTTAATTACTGGGTCAGGGGTTCTTTGTTTTGTTTTTTTCTAACTAGTAAACTGGTACCACATCCTCATCTAGTCTAGCACAAGATTTATTTAGAACTCGCTACACTATTTAGATTAATAAAATTGCTGACATAGATTAAGAATTCTCAGGGTTTGCATTGAAATTTGTCAATTAGGAATTTAGGATTCAGAAGCTGATGAATAAGGTTTTGAATTTTGTTGCTCTGTTTTCCTCATGTCGAATGCTCACTACATAACTAACAAACGCACCATCCAAAACAGGGCTCTTATTGCATTTTTTTTAACAGTGCTAGTGCTAGCTATACGTACTATTCATTTGCACGTACCACTCATTTCTAAAAGCGACAATATATAACTTTAAGAATACTGATTTGCCCATTTGTATGCATGGACCCAACAAATCAATGGGCTAGGGGTTTGTGGTGGCTGGAGTGAACTAGTATCTCCAAGCATGGCGCATGGAGATAAGGGGCCCTGTCTTCCTCACCGCTTGGACTCCATTCAGCTTCGTCCTAACAATATTCTGTTCCTCCTTCTTTCTAGGAGAGATGGTACATCTCGGCAGGTAGATAGTCATATATTATATTGTATATATGTCAGATCAAAAAATAACAAACATAAGTTGAATAATTGACCTTTTGCTGGATGAACTCATAGAAATTGTTGATGCCCCCTATTTTTTCCTCTCTCTCAAAAATGCAGCATTATTGGTGGAATCCTGTTATGTGGAGGCCTTTACAGTATGCTATGGGGTAAAAGTATGGAAACAAAGACCGTGCAGTGCAACATAGAGGCCACCACGGTCGACGACGGAGCTCAAGATGAGGCTCACAGAGAATTAGAAGGGCAGAAGGAAAATAAGGGTCGGGAAGAGCAAGAGAAAGTAGAATTAGAAACATGTATTCAACAAGTGTGATCAATTCAATTGATCAGAAATTGTTCCTGTTTATTAATTTGTTTCCATATATTTATGTATCATAACATCCTATGTTCCTTAACAAACTAATTTGTTAGCTAAAATCATAAAGGTATTGTATGTAAAATCTAGGTGATCCATGCTCTCTCTGATTGCACATGCCTTTTTCTGCAAAGAAATAAAACTTCCCTATCTGTTTTTGGAAATACATAGATGCGGAAGGGAGAAAGGTGTGCGGTTGCGTCCTGCTTCCACAATGATGGGCCCACGTGGACCCATCATTTTAGTTTCCTTTTGCCGCATGTAAGTCCTCTATTCCCCACATGAATCCAGATTATTTCTAGAAATCACAGGATTCAGAAATCACAAGAACCATGATGATCCAAAAATCAAACAAGATTTGAAGCAAAAGAGTCAACATGATCAGGTATTCAAAGTCAAATTCTTGCATTTTTTTTTATCTTTCTTCACTTTGTATCTCCACCCTAATTCATTTTTTGGTCATTTTCTTCATGAAAAACAATTTACAAATTTGATTTTTTGTTATGCTAGTTCATTTTGTTGCACCTAATTGCTTCATGAAAACCATTGCAACACCTTTGTAGCAACGAAACACTGACATGGTAGCAACACTTTCTGGCCATGGATCTGCCAACGCTAATACTTGTCCTACTTTGTTGGCAACCTATAGGAAAGACCATGAGTTGACATTAGAGAGAGAGAGAGAGAGAGAGAGAGAGAGAGAGAGAGAGAGAGAGAGAGAGGATTAAAGTGGATTGGGCAACTGAAAAATGCTTTAACTTGTTATTTTCATATGAAAATATTAGAGCATTGCCTGATAATTACCTAACAGTGTGCAATAAAATGTATGAAAGGTAACATGTAATTGCTTATTCAAACATGCGGAATAAAGGGGAGATGGATCTAAATGGACTTACCCAAGGGCATATGATATTTCAGATAATGGATACAAAACATGAGATTCTATGTTTTGTAATCACAGGAGTGAGGACCACACAAAAGGCAGCACGCGGAGGTTTGCAGGCCATGTATGCAACATTTAATGGAGTAGAAGCCACGGACCGGGCTCTCTCCCCGAAGCAGCAGTTTGACCAATTTGTAATGATGGCTAGTGTGGTGTTTGGTTTTTTTAGTTCTACAAAATAGGTTTTTGACTATATAACTTAGGGTGTTCGGATCCCTACTTTCTAAAAGCTGTTTTTTTTTCCTTTTTGGTTGGTGATAAAAAGACTAATCGGTCCCTATAGTAATTGATGCATGTACATTCCCACCTAACCACCAAGGTTAAAAGAGACATTTGTACTCCTTCAAAGACTAGCTTCTTAGTTTCATAGACCTTGTTTGGATCCACTCAGTTTTTAAGAAACCAACTTTTTAAAAGCTAGGTGGATCAAACAAAACAGTTTTTATCGGTTTATGTGACCCACACAAAAACCAGATTCTAAAATCGCAGAACCTATAAAAGTGTAGCTTTTGTGTGTTTTTTTAAAATCATCTGATATCTAAATACCACCTTAAAAAATGAGTGATTGGATTCTAGAAGCTGAACAAAAATCAAATTGTGGGTGATTGGATTCTAAAAACAAAACAATAATTGAGGTTGTTTAGATTCCACCCAATTTTCATTTTCAATATCTAGTTTCTCACAAACTTAAGGAAGCCCTAGGAGTCGTGCGGACCAAGAAGATGACCTTCACATCGCTTCTCGCTATAAATAGACCTCACAGACCTTCACAACCATCACTCTCATAGAGACACTTCGCCCTTGCACCAAACCCCAAACCACGTACAAGATGCCAACCGGACGGGTCTCCTTTCAGTGCTACACTACATTCCCAGGAGTCCCACTGTGGTGCACCAACAGGCCACTGCGAACCTCAACACTTAGAACAACTAAGTACCCTACAGACTTGCCTTGACGGACTGCTCGTCGCACACGACGGAACATTCTGTCCTTCACAACTAGAGAACAGAGAGCCCCCGAGGCTACAGACTTCACAGACGGAGAGTCCGCGCCCACTAGCGGAGAGTCTGTCACCACTACACATACATGATCACTAAAAATCCTAAATCCTAAAAATGGACGGAGTGTCCATGTAAACCCATGGAGTGTCCATCTAATTATAATGTTGCAACCTGAGACTAACAAGTTTCTGTCCAACCTTGACGGAGTGTTCCTAAGGTCAAACATTCACAATTTTACTAAGTGTCTGTCACCATGGACCATCCGTGGGTAGTGACGGAGTGTCCGCCACTGCATGTCGACGACACATCTACACTAAGTCACTAACACATGATATACATAATCAAACCATACTCAAGTAACATCAGTACATATCATGTCATGCCATTTACTTTATGCATTGTACTCATCAAGCATCATACTAGGGGCGGATGTATATAGTCATCAGTGGGTGCAGCCGCACCCACGCAAAAACAGAAAAATTGTGATTATAGCCAAATTTTCACCATATTCGCACCCTCAAAATAAAAGTCTACGCACCCACAAAACAAGCGCACCCCCCTTGAATTTTCTCTAGATCTGTCACTGCATGTATAGGTGACGAGATTCACGAGGAGGTCGTCATAGAGGCACCCCAAGAGATTGAATCCATTGACGAGCCAACCGAGACTGCCCAAACACTACTATAAATTGAGATACCACTGTCGCCACTTTCACTGCCTTAGAAGACATAAGCGACGGTGTGGTACTTCCACCATCGGATGGATCGATTTCGAGGCCTCATAAGGAATCAAATCAACAGTTGAAACTTCTACCACCGACGGGTTAACGATAGATACGGCGGTGCTAGTAGGTTGAATTTTACCATCGTTTGGAAAGCCGAGCCGACTGAGATACACGTTTTGACCGCTGGTCCTACACGACCGTTTGGTCTACCGGTGGTAAATTCAGCGTGAGTGTTGAATGTCCCAACTTCCAACACTGTCTCAGCACTTCTGCTAGGAACCGTTGTATACCTCGTCTTCCCTGATGCATATGCCTAGATCACGCATCTTAACTTCCTTTCCGCTTCTCCATCTTGAAGGTTGGCCTATTTAAGCCAGGTCTGGGTGCACCTCTTGGCCTCATTCCACACAATCTTTCTCCTTCAATCTCTTTTAGAATAGATACAAATCAACAAAGCTCTTGAGCCAACCATCTTTTTTTCTTTATTGCCATGACACTCCTTGTCCAATTCCTCTGGTGGCAGCAGCGGCGTTAGGAGAAAGCTTTCAAGATTGGGTACAACCTGCATCAAGGCGCAGCGGGGGCTTCTCGATCTAGGTGCTAGTGGAAGTTTTGCAATTAAGGGGGGTCGCTTATTTGGGCAAGCCAATGGTACTGAATGCTGTCGGTGCGGGACCCACGGGATACCCCACAAGGAAGGGAGAAGATCTAGTCTAACTAGGATTCTTCCCATGTAATCTTAGTAGTAGTATTATTCTGTAATCCTACTAGGAACTCTCATTGTAAACCGACTAGGATTCTGGCCTCCTGAATATATAAAGGAGGGCATGGTTCCTAGAGAGGGGACGACACAACACTTGACAATCAATCCAACGCAAAGGCTAACGCCGATTGGACGTAGGGCTATTAGTCGATCACGATTGAGGGCCCGAACCAGGATAAATCGACTGTCTCTTGCGCTTACCGTCGAGTTATGCATATGCTGAAGCCCAAACAAACTGCCCTGGGTAGCCCCGTGGCAGGCTATCGGTGGTGAAACATCGACAGCTGGCGCGCCAGGTAGGGGCTTTCGGTGAATTTGCATCCGAGAGCTCGACGGACCTCAACAATATGATCTTCTCGATGGGATCAACCTTCATCTTCGGTTCATGGATCTGCGAGGCAGGTGACAATGGCAAGCTCCAAAGCCGTCTCCTCGAAGATTCGGATCACCATGAAGACCATTCTATTTCGGTGACTATGACAGATCAACTTGCTGGAAGATTCGCGCAGCTCGCGATATCCGGTCCAACTCAGATTTCGCAACTTTGCGCATCCGACTCAAACTCAGGTTTCGCATTCGAAATGGAGTCTTACTCGAGTTCTTCTGAGAAACTGAGTTCTTTTTCGATGGGACTTAAGAACACGGCCTTGGCCTATCAAGAATACAACTCGAAGAACACTCAGAGTCTTTTCAAGAAGTCGGGTCCTTTTTCGTTTGGACTCCACAACATGACAACATCTTATCAGACACGGCCCGAAGGATCCCTCGACCCGGTGCTTAGAATGCCACTGAAAGGAGCTCAGGAAGGTCTCGTACTAACTATAACCTCTCAAGACTGCATCGTCCACTGGCCAGGTTCTGTTCCTGAGGATAGCGGAACCCGACTAGTCGGCACTACGACAACAACAATTCTACCCTACCAAGAAGGAGACTCGATCTGCGACCTCAAAGCCTCTACTAAGGTTATCAACTACTCCGACAGTGTGGAAACCGACGCCGATAGTGGAACAATTCACGCACGAGAAGTATTCATGGTTCGCCGTCCTCGATCACCATTGGTCCCCCCAGAAGCGCCCGACGTCAGGTCATCGGATGAATCTGAGTCCAACATATCACCCTTTACCCAGGGGCACGATGGTGAGACCGAGAATCAGAAGCAAGCCGGAGAAAGAAAAAACAAGTTGAAACAAGGACGCCAACGCCGTGCTAGGCAGCGTAAGGAAGCTTGGATCAGATATGAGTCAGATCTGGCCTAGTACAATAGAAGAAAATCAGAACGAGAAGTCAAAGAAGGACGCACGTCGAATACACCCTACGATAAGATCCGAGAAGCATTAGAAGAACTCAGAGCGACCTCACATCCCAGTGAAAAACAAGAACAGCTCTGGGACTTTCTCCGGTCAACAGTCCTAAGGACGCATGACGGAAGAACCCGTTCAAGACTACCTGCCAGGTCAACATCTCATAGGAAGGAAGATCAAAACCAAAGGAAGTCCGCTTTCGAGAGACTTGAACCGAGCGGAAGTC